GTTTTAACGGAATCACTCTCATCAGCAACTCTTTGCTACAAGAAGGTGACATTTTGCAGTAATATCAATATAACTATTTAAATTTTAAATATAAGAACCTAACAGAACTATTTCTTCATTAAAACAGATATTACTACAGCAAATATGTCAAAATTTATGGGAAATAATTTTAAGTTTGGTTCTAAGGCCACTCAGACAATTGTTCTGGGATTGCAGCTAAATTGAGAAAGTATGGCCTGGATGATCAGGTAGTGAGGCAGACTGTGAACTGGTTGAAGGAAAGAAGTCAGAGAGATGTGGTCAAATGAGACAGAGTCCATTTGGAGACCTTTATCTATTGGAGTCCATCAGGTGTCAGTACTGGGACCAGTACTATTCAATATATCCATCAACGACCTGGATGAGGAAACAGACTGCACTGTCAGCAAGTTTGCTGATGACACAAAAGTGGGAGGAGAGGCTGACACACCAGAAGGCTGAGCTGCCATTCAGTGAGACCTGCACAGGCTGAAAAGTTGGGCAGGGAGAAATTTAATTAAATCCAACAAGGGCAAGCATAGAGTTTGCACCTGGGGAAGAACAATCCCAAGTACCAATACAGGCTGGGGACTGACCTGTTGGAGAGCAGTGTAGGGGAAAGGGACCTGGTGGACAGGAGGATGACCGTGAGCCAGCAATGTGCCCTTGTGGCCAAGAAGGCCAATGGCATCCTGGGGTGTATTAGAAGGGGTGTGGTTAATAGGTTAAGAGAGGTGTTCCTCACTCTCTACTCTGCTTTGATGAGGCTGCATCTGGAATCTGGTGTCCAGTTCTGGGCCCCTCGGTTCAAGAAGAACAGGGAACTGCTTGAAAGAGTCCAGTGCAGAGCCACAAAGATGATGAAGGGAGTGAAACATCTCCCTTATGAGGAAAGGCTAAGGGAGCTGGGTCTCTTTAGCTTGGAGGAGACGGAGGGGTGACCTCATCAATGTTTACAAATATGTAAAGGGTGAGTGTCAGGAAGATGGAGCCAGGCTCTTCTCAGTGCCGTCCAATGATAGGACAAGAGGCAACAGGTGCAAGCTGGAGCATAGGAGGTTCCACGTAAATGTAAGGAAAAGCTGAGGGTGCCAGAGCACTGGAACAGGCTGCCCAGAGAGGGTGTGGAGTCTCCTTCTCTGGAGACATTCAAAACATGCCTGGGACATGTACCTTTTTGACCTACTCTGGATGATCCTGGTCTGGCAGCAGGGTTTGAACTAGATGATCTTTTGAGGTCCCTTCCAACCCCTACCATTCTGTGTTTTAGGGATTCTCTTAGACTCTCATAATAAAGCACATCAACTATATATGTACTATCTAGTACCTTTACATTGCAGGTGTTACAGCTTTCATTTTCCTTTAATTAATGATCATCTTAAGTATTGAAAACAGGGGCAAGTAACAGAACTGTTTTTAGGAGAAAATTCACAACACCCTAAATATTTTTCTGAATCAATGTGGAGTATTATCAGTAATACATGTAGTAGTGAAGGGACAGAAGGAGGTTTCTTGAGGGCTTTACTTTGCTTCATTAGTAACATATTTCTGTGGCAAGGATGGATATCTTGTCATATAAGAAAAGGACTATAAGATATTAGAATAAGAGCAGAATTCTGACATAATTTTAGCAATGAAATTGTGCAGGTTTATGGTATCACTAGCAATATATTTGAGAAATAAACTGTGAATTACAGTTAACTTTTTTTTTGTGAACATGAAACTAAGTAAGCTACAGATGTAGCTATATTGGATAGCATGTGGAGTGTACTAAATGAAATAAAAATCTTCATATGATAGGTATAGCAGTATTTTATTTTAATAGGGATGTCCTTAAATGTATTTCCCTCTCTAGCCTGAGAAACAAATCTAAATGTTCCCATTAACGTACTATGTTAAACAAACATGTTTTTATTAAAATTACTTCTCAAGGTGGTAATAGACATTTTAAATATCCATTGCTTCATTCAAGTGGAACTAGAAAAAACATCTTAGTTACTAAAAAGGTACTGTAAAATGTGACTTGCTTGGTTGGTTTTTACGGGAAACAAATTTGCAAGGTTAAGGTTATTAGCAAAGCTAGTATCCATCTTCCTAAAAAAGGTCGTTCTGCTATCACACATGTAGTAGTTTTACTGGTGCAAAATGTTGGGGAGGAAGCTGAACTCTGATTTGACTGTAAACCTTCAGGTGCAGGGGCAATATCCTGAAAACCTACTGAAACTGTATATTTAGAAATTGCATGTTTAGCCCTTGAAGTTACTGTATCACAAAAATTGCATCACGTTTCATTATTTTATCATTATATAGCATATATACATATATATATAATTCTGCAGTCAGAAAGTGCTAGGGTTACCAATGTATCCAAAAAGTATTAAAAAAAAATAAAAATAAATGAAAGAGAAAAATACCATGCAGTAAACAGCTGTCTTGGCATATTTCTGGGCATAATCCATATAATCTTTTGTGTGTCTTAATTAAGTAAACTGGTTAATGTCATAATGAGTGCTGCACTTCAAAGGTGTTGCTGTGGTAACTAAAAATTGTTCTGATTCTCAGATGCCCTGGTAATTCAGTAGTGCAGTCAAAGTCATAGAAATACATATGTGCATATGCTCCCCACAGCAATTCATGATCTGTGAAATTACTCTGCATTGTCAAAGAAATCCCAGAGACCTCCCCATACTCTTGTCTTCTCCAAATAGAACTTGTGCTAACAGTGCTGTGTTTTGATAGTGAAAAGAAACAAAGCACTTAGATTTTATGTCCTCAAAGTGTAATTAAGATATTTGATATCTCACATTTAAGTGTCTATTCCTCCTTTAGTAACACAACTTTTCAAAATTTGGGCCATTGTAATAGAAGTTCAGCACTTTTTGAAATACCTATCAATTGAAACTGTGTAAATTTTAGGAAGCTATTTTTTATTTTCATGAAAAACAGTACTGAAAATGTTTAGAGTTGGAAAGCTGGAACTTTTCAAATTAATGCTCCTATGGAAAACTACTCCTTGAAGCTCCAGTGTCTCATACTGTCTGACCACTAGACTGCTTTTCAGTTTATCCCAACTTGTGATCTTAGGCCAAAAGGGAATTTTTCCAAAGCTGTGTCATCTTAAGGCTGAGATCTTACCCTCTCTCAGAGGCAGATACAAAATGCACAGACTCCACGTTCAAGCAGGTTTTCCCAAAGGTGGAGGATTCC